ACATACACACACATGTGCTACACACTCACACCACACCCATCCACATCGTCACCCACACCCACACACTTACACCCACACCCAATAAATACATTTTTCAAAAAAGAACATCTTGATTACTTCCTAGTGTTGGCAGTTATGAATAAAGCTGTTATAAACATCCATGTGCATGTTTTTGTGTGTACATAAATTTAAAACTCATTTGCATAATTACAGAGGCAAGCGACTGTTTTCCACACAGTGACACTTCATTTTGTTTCTTGAAAAGTGACTAAATTGGTTTGCATGTTCACCATCAAAGAATGGGAGTTCCAGCCGTTCCACAGCCTTCCCAGTCTTACCAGGCTGGGGTTTCACCAGATAATAACTGGGCTGTGAGATCTTATTGTTTGCCTATTCATTCATTTATTTATTTAGTACTGAGGATTGAGCTTAGGACCTGGTACATGCTAGGCAAGTCCTCCATCACTGAGTTATATCCACAATTCTTCCTTCCTGTCTTTCTCCCACCCTTCTTTCCTCTTTGTTTCTCTCCCTCCTTCCCCTCCTTCTTTCTTTCTTCCTTTCCTACCGCACTTTTGTCTTCCTTTTTTTTTTTTGGATACAGAGTCCAGGCTCTTATCAAACTTGAATGTTCAAAGATGACCTTGTACTTCTGCTCCCCCTGCCCTTGTGTCCTGGGTGTAGGGACTACAGGCATGATCCATCATGCCTCCTGCTCTTCTGCCCCTGTCTCCTGGGTGTGGGGGTTACAAGCATGCACAATTGATTATATCTGGTTATATGAGCTAGGGTTTGAATCCAGGGCATTCAGGTGATTGTGAGTCCCTGCCTCAGCTTCCAGAATAGCTGGATTTGACTGTTCATTCATTTATTTATTTTACATGAGTGATGGAAACTGAACTTGTGTCATCCGGAAAAGCAGCACATGCTCTTAACTGCCCAGCCATGTCTCCGTCCCTCCATCCCCTATTAGCGGTTATTCTTGCTTGGAACTGCCATTCCCATCTCTCAGTTCTTTCCACACACAAGGGCACTTGTATTTCTATAGACAGGAGGCTTCAGGGGGTGGTTTGGAGTTCTAGACCTGGAATCAGCCTGAAGTTGAAACCCAGCCCTTTCTGTCCCTGTCCCTGTTCCTGTCCCTGTCCCTGGGCCACCTGCTCTCCCTGCATCATGCTTCTTCACGGTCCCCTTCATAACCATACAGTAGATGCCACCCATAGAGCTGAAAGAGTTACATATTTTGTAGACAGAGAACAAAGGATTCCTGCAGGCTCAAGGCCAGATTGTCCTTTAGAGCAAGTTGTGAGCTACCTATGGTTATGTAGTAAGACCCTGTGTCAAGAAAAAAGAGAGATGACAAAGGAATTAAATTTCTCATATAAGGAGAAGAACATGGCACAAAATAAATAATTGTCAGTTTTCATTGTTACAAAATAGATTTTTGTGGGTTTTTTTTTCAGGGTGAGGGTGCCACAGCATCTCTATAACCAAGGCTGGCCAGGATCTTACTATGTAGCCCAGGCTGGCCTTGAACTGAAAACAGCCTTCCTGCTTTAGACTCCCCAGGATTGGAATTACAGGTGTGAGATGACCACATCTGGTCTCTCAAATAGATTCTTAGCAATGGGCTTGCTTGAAGGGTAGGTACATTAATACACACACACACACACACACACACACACACACACACATATATATTTTAAACAAAGAGCCTTGCTATATTATCCAGACTGTTCTTAAGCTAATGGGCTAAAGTGATCCTCCTGGGGCTGGAGGGATGACTCCGTGGTTAAGAGCACTGGTTGTATCTGGACGGTGGTGGCACTTGCCTTTAATCCCAGCACTGGGGAGACAGAGGCAGTCAGATCTCTGTGAGTTTCAGGTCAGTCTGCCCTATAGAGGAGTTTCAGGACAGTCAAGGCTACGTAGAAAGAACTTGTCTCAAACAAACAAACAAACAAACAAAGTACTGGTGGTTCTTCCAGAGGACACATGTCCTATTCCCAGCCAGAGCTTACATGGCAGGCGGCTCACAATTGTCTCTAACTCCAGTCCTAGGGGATCTGATGCCCTCTTCTGGCTTCTACAGGCATTATATGCACATGGTGTACAGAAAGACATGTAGGAGAACTTACACATAAAATAAAGGTTAAAAAAAATTAAAAATCACCCGGGCGTTGGTGGCGCACGCCTTTAATCCCAGCACTTGGGAGGCAGAGGCAGGTGGATTTCTGAGTTTGAGGCCAGCCTGGTCTACAGAGTGAGTTCTAGGACAGCCAGGGCTATACAGAGAAACCCTGTCTCGAAAAACCAAAAACTAACTAACTAACTAACTAAATAAATAAATAAATAAAAATTAAAGATCAATAAAGTGACCTTCCTGCTTTGGTCTTCCCAGTGGCTGAGACTACCAGCATGTAACTACCCACCAGGCCTAGCCTTCAGTGAAATTATATTCATGGCTGTAGGGCAAGGGAAGCACAGGACAGAGCCCCAGCGTCTGCCTAGCCTGTCACTGACTTGTCAGCCTCAAGGACACTGCTCCAGTCATTGCACATCTGAAGGGACTACTTAAAATACTACTTTATTTGAAAAGTATATGCTGGTTTTTTTTTTTTTTTCAAGACAGGGTTTCTCTGTGTAGCCCTGGCTGACCTGGAACTCACTCTGTAGACCAGGCTGGCCTCAAACTCAGAAATCCACCTGCCTCTGCCTCCCAAGTGCTGCTGGGATTAAAGGTGTGCGCCACCAACACCCGGCTGTATATGCTGTTTTAATCATGTGTATACATGTGTGTCTGTGTGAGTACATGCATGTAAGTGTAGTTGCCCATTGAGGCCAGAAGAGGGCATTGGATCCCATGGAGCTGCAGTTACAGGACTTTGTAAGCCATGGGATATGGGTGCTGAGAAACCAGCTTGGGTTCTCTGCAAGACTAGTAGGTACACTTAACCACTGTGCCATCTCTCCAGCCCCAGGATTTTCAAATATAGGATGTCTATCTATAGTCTGGGTTCTATCTATAGTATAACCCAAAATGAGGAGACTTAAGGGCTTCAAGAAAAATCTTTTAGGGCTGAGAATGTAGCTCAATTGATAGTTTTTGTCAAAGATGCATAAAGCCTAGGACTTGATCCTGAAGGACTGTGTGAGACCCTAACTATGGTGGCACCCAGGAAGGGAGGAAGCAGGAAGGTCCTAAGTTCATAGCTACATAGTGAGTTGGAGACTATCCTGGGCTATATTTTCCATCTTAACAGCAAGCAAGCAATCTGGGTTTCTCCTGAATAGAAGATAGTGTCAAAATGTGTGTGTTGGGGATATGTATGAAGATAGTATCAAAGTGTGTGTATGTGTGTGTGTGTGCGTGTGTGTAGTAGGGTGTCTTAGAACTTCTCTTGTGATAAAACACGATTAAAAGCAAAGTGGATGTGAAAGGATTTATTTCCCTTACAACTCTCAGATCACAGCCTGTCACAGAGAGAAGTCAGGGTAGGAACTAGAGCTATAGAATGTTGTTGCTTACTGACTTAATCTGTCTGCTTTCTCATACAACTCAGGGCCACCTTCGAAAAGTAGCACCACCTACAGTGGGGTGGGCCTATTAATTATTAATCAAGAAAATACCCTGGGCTGGTGAGATGGCTCGGTGGTTAAGAGCACTGACTGCTCTTCTAGAGGTCATGAGTTCAAATCCCAGCAACTACATGGTGGCTCACAACCATCCACAATGATATCTGATGCTCTCTTATGGGGTGTTTGAAGACAGCTACAGTGTACTTACATGTAATGAATAAATAAAACCTTTAAAAAAAAAAGAAAATACTCCATAGACTGCCTACATGTCAATCTGATGAAGGCATTTTTAAATTTAAAGTTCCCTTTCTCAAATGACCCTGGCTTGTGTCATTGACAAAAACAATCCAGACATAGGGCTTTTATATTATTGGAGACCCATTCAAGCTGTTTCCCTTATCAATGTATTTCTAAACTGTTTCAATAATCCTTTACATTCCCAGACATTCTCTTGAGCAAAACACTTAAAACAGCACTTACTGAGCTCTTGCTAGTTAGTGTACCATATGTGACTGGAATATCTGCAGAAGAATTCAGGAGGTAAATAGGCAAAGGCAAAGTCATTTATTATCTTGATAAATTTATTTTGCATCTGAGATAATACGAGCAGCACATAACGGTGATTTGGAAATTTCATTTTATTATCTCGATAGTTTAGGCTCACAGGTTTCAACAACATTCTCAATCGGTTTCAGAGTCTTGAAATGCTCCGCAATTCCCTACCATGGGTTTCAATGAATCGTATCCATCATTAACGAGCCAGCCCTGGCACTGCTCCACCAAGTTTCCCTGCTAATGATGACGCAATCTCTTGCCCCTCCTCTTGGCGCTGATCCGTCCTGCACTTATCCAGCCGTTAGCATCTTCAACATTGACTCAGTATGTACTCCTCTAAACCGGATGGATTTTTAAGGTAAAGACTGGGGGTTTTGTCATTCCCCCAGTGGTATCCATCACCTTAGAGGCAGTGACCCACACTTTCTAGTATCATCATAGAAATAGAAATTCTGCTGGTAAATGTAGGGGACTGCCTCTTTTAACTTCGGGCCTATTTCTCCCCGTTCTCTGCAATCTGGTTTATCCCATCGGTGGAGGAAAGCAGGTTGAATGGCTGAGAAGGGAATGGCGTCAGCGTGAGGTCAAGCTACACTGTCTCTAAGGCCCTCTCCGGCTGGTTTCCATCATCCTATCAGGACAGGAAGGCAGTTTACAGGAAAGATGGAGGCTCAAGTTGGGCTCAAGTCGGGGAAAGAAAGGGAACAAAGTCGGCAACTTGGCAGGGACGGTTGAAAACCCGTCCGCCAAGCAAACAGCGCGGACCGTGAGGGACGGTGAGGCGCACCCGCCCGCAGCTAGCCCCGCAGCAAGGGGCGGGACTTCCGGAAGCCATTTGCCGGAGTGGCAGGGGGACCGGAAGTGGAGGCGCTGCTGGTTGGTGCTGGGGCCCGAGGAGGGGACGCGCGCCGGAACGCGGCTGTCGGGATCAAGCGAGCGACTGAAGCGCAACCCGCCGACGCCGCAGCCGCTGAGGGCCCGCACGGACCCTCTGCCTCTGTGAGTGCATCGCGGGGGCCGCGGAGCCGGGCCTTCGGCAGCGCGGGCGGGACGCGCGGGCAGGACGGTATTGTGAGGCCCGGCTCCCCTCCCCCACTCCGCCCCTCCCCCGCCGCGCCCCGCGCCGTCGCCCGGCAGGCCCTCCGGGGCCCCGCGCAGTCCCCACTGCCCTCCGGCGCCCCGGTCCCGCCCTGGCTGGCGGGCGAGCGGCCCGCGGGTCCCCTGGCCCGGCCCCCTGCCTCAGCTGTTGCCTTTTCCCTCCATCCCCGGGGTGGGACCTCTAGGCCCAAGCCTGTGACTAGGATGTGCCTTTTTTTTTTTTTTCCTTTTAACGGATCACTCTCTTTGCCCTTCTCGTCGAAAACTGTTCCCCTTCCTAGAAACTTCTCTGTTGCCTTCGCTAATACATCCCCCAAAGACCCATGTCAGGGGGTCTGAAAGGATTGTTAGAGGCTAACCTTAAAGTGTCACCCCACTTCATTCGGCGACAAGGCCGAGACGTGGGTGATTTAACTGATGGCCTACCACCAGCTAGGTAAATCTGGCAGTGGGGAGCTTTCTTGGAGGCGTGTTTCCCCTCCCTACCCCTTGGGGTCCATGTCCACTTAGCGGGTCCGAGCTTGTGGTCTGCAGGTTTGATTTACTCGTGGCAGAGTGACTCATTACCCTGCTTTCCCTAGCTCCCAGGCTGACGTTGCCTTTCATCATTTATATACGGATCTTAAGAAAACCCAAAGCTTTAAAGCCTTGGCGTCTCTGAAGAGCGTGTCTGTGGACAAAGGAAAGGGCACCGGGATGCTGAGAGCAGGTCCTAGAGTTGCATTTTCTACAGCTTTTAAGTTGGGTGGAGAGAATGGGCCAGAGGAAAAAGGTGTGGAGAAAAGAGAAAATACTTCTCTTTGCTTTGGATGGGCCTTGTGTCTGCCCATAGGTTCCTTCTCTGGGCACATTGTTCTGATTTAAAGGTTGCCTCCTTGTGGGAGAGTAGGGAGGGCATCATTGTGACTTAATTTGTTGGCATGGGCACTCGATAATAAATTATGGATGTTCTGGATCCTGAGGGGCCGCCCACCAGAGACTGAGGCCGGGTATTCTGGACGAGGCTTGCCTTCGTCTTCAGAGTAACCCTGCCAACTCTCTAAAGCAAAATGAAAAGCCTCAAGCCTTAATGGAAGCATTCTAAATCTTTTCATTCTCATTCAGAGGTCCCAGCAAGGTTCACGGTTCACACACACAATCCAGTTGAGATTGAGAGGAGTTGTCTGTTGGGATTGGCTTCCACACCACTCGTGTAGAAAGTCTGGTGCTGTGTCCTCGAGGTCTAAATTAAGTGGAGAAGATAGAAAGTTTAGGATTAGGATTGCTGCCTCTTCCTGGAGAATTTTGAAGGACAACAACATTTCCTCTGCAAAATAGTTTTTCATAGAAATGTACACAGTTGCCCGCCTTTTACCTCCCTCTTGGTAGTTTTTTTCATACCAAGCCTGCTGTTCGCTGGGTATTTGATTATTTTGACTCAGTAAGGTGAGGTGGGAAGGGTTGGGTTTTATTTTTTGTACTACTAGGGGTTGAATACTGCCACTGAGAAGTGGAGTTAAAGACAGGAGCGGTGATGTGTTGCTGGGAATCAAACCTGGGACCTCTGGAAGAGCAGTAAGTGCTCTTAACTGCTGAGCCAGCGCTCTCCAGCCCCCTCCTCATTTTATATAAACTCACTCCTTCTGAGATAGGGTTTCTCTTTGTAGCCCACACTATGTTGGAACTCACTGTGTAGACCAGGCTGTCCTCAAACTCAGAGGTCCCCTGCCTCTGCCTCGTGAGTGCTGGGACTAAAGATGTGCACCACTCTTCTGAGGGTTGCTATGCTAGGAAAATGGTTCAGGAATCCCTGTGATTCTTTTTTTTAAACTTCCATAGGATACTCTGTAGATGACTCCTGATTCATTCTTTTAAGATTGTGTTTTCTTAAAGCGTCACTTATTTTCATGTGTGTGAATGTGTTTCCTGCATGTGTGTGTGCATATCATGTGTATGCAGTGCCAACAGAGACGGGATGAAGGTGCTAGGTCCCTTGACACTGGAGTCACAGAATTGCTGTGAACCACAGTATAGGTGCTGAGCCCTGGTCCTCTACAGGAGCAGTCAATGCTTTCAACCACTGTCTTAGCTCCTCTCTCCCAAAATGTTCTGCATTTAAAATTTCGTATTATATTTGTGGGGAGGCGGCCCATACACACAGGCCATAGAAAGCACAGTGACTGAGTGTCAGACATCAGGGAACAGCTTTGTGGAGTTATGGGGGTCATTAGAGTTGTACAGCAAGTGCTTTATCTGCTGACAGCTGAGCCATCTTAACAGCCGAATTGTTGTAAAGAACACCATAGTTTATATTATCTGACTTCCAAATAAATGCATGACTACTTCCTCCCTTGCTTGCTTGCTTGCTTATTTATCTATTTATTGATCTTCCTTCCTTCCTTCCTTCCTTCCTTCCTTTCTTTCTTTCTTTCTTTCTTTTTTCTTTCTTCTCGAGACAGGGTTTCTCTGTGTATTCCTGGCTGTCCTGGAACTCACTCTGTAGACCAGGCTGGCCTTGAACTCAGAAATCTGCCTGCCTCTGTCTCCCAAGTGCTGGGATCAAAGGCATGCGCCACCACTGCCCGGCTACTTATTGGTTTTTCAAGACATGATTTCTCTGTGTAGACCTGGCTGTCTTGAAACTCAATCTGTAGACCAGTCTGGCCTTGAATGAATAAGAGATCCACCTGCCTCTTCTGCCTTCAGTGACGGAATTAAAGGAGTGTACACTAAGCTTTTTTCTTTCTTTTGTTTATTGTTTGTTTCTGTCCTCCTCCTCCTCCTCCTCTTTTTTTTTTTTTTCTTTTGGATACAGGATTTCTGTGTACAATAGCCCTAGTTGATGGCTGGTGTCAGGCTCAGAGAAATTAAAGGTGTGTGCTAACACACCTGGCTTGACTAGACCTCTGGATTGTTTCTGACCACCCCCCCTAAAAAGAAGAGACAGTAGGGGGCTGGAGAGATAGCTCAGCGGTTAAGAGAGCACTGGCTGCCCTTCTAAAGGTTCTGAGTTCAATTCCCAGCAACCACATGATGGCTCACAACCATCTACAGTGAGATCTGGTGCCCTCTTCTGGCCTGTAGTCATGCATGCAGGCAGAATGCTGTATACATAATAAACCTTTTAAAAAAAAAAAAAAGAGAAGAGACAGTAGGAGTTTATAGGTCAACTTTCCATTTCTGGGTTTTAAAAATGTTGCCAAACCGCAGGCTTCTGTGAAACAGTGGAAGTTACTTTGTATTGTAAGATGTTTGATTTGGCATAAGAGGCCAGAGGCGCCAAGTGTCTGGAGGCACCAAGTATCTTCACTCAGGTATTCTGCTTTTGTATTCATGGTTGAAGGGACTGTCAAGTCTGGAGTACTTTTTATAATCTTCTCCCAGTTATAACTGCCTTTTAACTTTAGGTACAGGAATTTCGTTCCTCTCTTTCTTCTTCCATGTCCTTTAATTTTGCCTGTAAAGAATATTGAAACATATGACTATAATATTCCACACCTGTAATCTCAGCATCTGCAAGGCAGAATAGGTACTGCAGTAAGCCAAGACAGCCAGAGCTGCACAGGGAGACCCTCAAAACAAAAATGTAAGATCTGGGATTCAGATGGAAGTACTTTGCTCAGTGTTTGGAGTGAAAATAAAAAGTAAGTGAAACAGCATGGTAAGGTAAATTTTACCACATTCATGCAGTGTCTTTCTATATAAAATAGAATTCTTTGTTCAAGAATAATAGGCTGCGAGCCAGATAGATGGCTCAGTGCTTTGCTAACCTGAGTTTGACTATAGGACTTCTGTGGCAAAGAATAGAACTGACTCCCTTCAAGTGTTCTTTGACCTCCACACACTGAATCTGCAAGAGCGAGATTTAAAAAAAAAAAAAAAAAGAGTTGAGTTTTAAAAAGAGTCAAGTGGTGGTGGCATTCACCTTTAATCCCAGCACTGGGGAGGTAGAGACAGTCGGATCTTTGAGTTTAAGGCCAGCCTGGTCTACAGAGTGAGTTCCAGGACAGACAAGGCAACACAGAGATATTCTTTTTTTTTTTTTTTTTAATAGAAATTTAAGAAGTGGTAGGCCTTGGTTTGAAATGGATTAGGGCTAGAACTAATGTTCAGTGGTACAGTGCTCACCCAGCTTATGAGGTTTTTGGGTTCAATCCTCAATGACACAAAATGGAGCAAACCGACTATCCTACAGACAATAGTAATAAACTGAATATTCCTAATTCAGTAATCTGGAATTTCTTTCCTGCTTAACAGTTTTGCAATAGAACAAATTCCTTAGATATTTTGACCAGGTAGCCCTGGCTATCCTGGAACTTGCTATGCACACCAGGCTGTCCTTGAATTGACAGATCAGCCTGTGTCAACCTCTTGACTTCTGGGGTTAAACTGACTAAATAGTAAGTTCCTAATAAGTGTTAATTGTAAATTGTTTTAGATGGGTGTTTACCTCATGGACCAGTTCAGAAAACTCATTTCTAAGAAAAGGCCCAAGATGTTAGAGTTTATACGGGCCTGTTGTCTTGAGAGTAGATTGTGTTACCAAATGCATAAAATGAATCTTTGGAATTTAAAGGGGAAGAAAAAAATCCCTACTTTTTCATTCAAAAAAGAAAAAATAGCGACAGTTGACCTTGAATTTCTGATCTTCCTGCTACTTCCTGAGTTCTAGGATTATGGACATCCACCTAGTTTGATATGATTTAATATAGTGCTAGGAATTGAACCCAGAGCTTCAGGCATGGCTAGGCAAGCCGTGCTACCAACCAGACTTTGTCCCTAACCCCTAGTTTGTTTTGTGTTTGTGTGTGTGTGTGTGTGTGTGTGTGTATGTTTCTGTGGGTGCACATATATAGTAAGTGCACTATGGAGGTCAGACATCAAACTTTGGGCGTTCCTCAGTTACTATTAACACCACAACCCTTTGGAGACAGGGTCTCAATATGTAACTCTGGCCTACCTGGCGCGTGCTGTCTAGACGTTTGTCATCAAACTGAGAGACAGATCTGCCTCTGTCTCCCAAATTCTGAGTTTAAAGGTGTGTATCACCACACCTTACAGTTTTTCTCGGCTTCATGAACCTATATGTGGTTTCTTGCTAACCAGATGTTCCAGATTAGGCTAAACTGGCTACTCTGCTGGGCAGTTAGCCCCAGTATCTGCCTGTCTTCACATCCCCAGAGCTAGGATTATTAGCATACACTGTCACACCTGACTTTTTCTTTTTTTTAAACAAGAATGTTGGTGGCTTGAATTTGAGTATCTCCACTCTCCCCAGTTTTGTCTTACTAAGTACTTTAATTACTATAAGGCTACTTGTGTGATGTTTTAGTAGCTAGTAAGTTCTAATTGTTGGCTGTAGTCAAGTTTTACTTTAAAAAAAAAAATTCATGTATATTTATTTTGCCTAAGAGTGTGTCTGTATATCTTGTTCACACTTGGTACCCAAGAAGGCCAGAAATGGCCAGGCAGTGGTGGCGCACACCTTTGATCCCAGCACTTGGGAGGCAGAGGCAGCGAATTTCTGAGTTTGAGGCCAGCCTGGTCTACAGAGTGAGTTCCAGGACAGCAAGGGCTACACAGAGAAACCCTGTCTCGGGAAAAAAAAAAAAAAAGAAGAAGGAGGAAGAGGAGGAGGAGAAGGCGGCCAGAAATGAGTGTCGGATAGCTAGGAGTTAAAGAAAGCTGCTATGTGGGTCTGGAATTGAACTAGGTCTTGTGAAAGAGCAGCCAGTGCTCTTAACCTCTGAGCCTCTCCAGCCTCTGTTTTGTTTTTTGTTTGTGTTTTTAAGATAAGGTCTCTATAAAGAGCCTTGGCTATCCTAGAACTCACTAAGTAGGCTGACCTAAGCTTGAATTCATCTAGATTGGGCTGGAGAGATGGCTCAGTGGTTAAGAGCACTGACTACTCTTCCAGAGGTCCTGAGTTCAATTCCCAGCAACCACTTGGTGGCTGACAACCATCTGTAATGGAGATCTGATGCCCTCTTCTGGTGTGTCTGAAGACAGCTACAGTGTATCCACATATATGAAATGAGTAAATCTTTAAAAATAAATAAAAGAACTCACCTAGATCTACTTGCCTCTGCCTCCATAGTGCTGAGATAAAAGATGTGTGGCATAATGCCTGGCTCTCTGTAATTTTTTAACGCATGCAAATGTATGATACGTGTGTGTGAATGCTAATGCCACTGTGCGTGCATGCGTGCGTGCGTGTGCGTGTGCGTGTGTGTGTGTAGGCAGGTAGGTAGGTAAGTAGGTAGATGATCAGAATACAGTTTTACGGAGTTGGTCCTCTCCTTCCACCAAGTGAATTCTAGAGCTCCATCTCGAGTCACCAGGCTTGCTTTCTTTCATTTGATTGGCCACTGTGGTCATTCTTTTTGTCTGTGTTTGTTTGCATGTCATTTGTGTGCAGTTGCCTGTGAAAGCTAGGAGAAGTTGTCCTACCCCTTGGAGTTGAAGTTACAGACAGTCATGGGTGTTAAAAATCCAAACTCAAGTCCTCTACAACAACAGCAAGTGTTCTTAATCACGGAGCCAACTCTCCAGTTCCCCGTGTAGTCATTTTTTAGTGTGTAGTTCTAGCACCCTAAAAGGCATGATGTAGGTTTCAAAGTTCTGTGTCTAACTTCTTCAGTAATTTGGTGCTACATCTGAAATGTAAATAAATACAATATCCAATGAAAAGAAAAGAAAAAAAAAGTAATTTGGTGCTTTCTAAACCTATGATCGTGAAAACTTAACATAGGATGGGTATGTCAGGTAAAGTGTCTATTTGGAGTAGAATTTGTACGTTTAATCTTCGTCACAAGGCAGAGGGGTAATGGAGTTAATGTTCAGATGTGATGCTTCTTTCATAAGTGATAGGAAATGTCCGACGTTTAGTGGTAATATATTTTGGAGACTTACGCACTCATGTTCTAGAATTCATCTTTGCTAAAAATCAATCCTACTTCAGTTTCTAGGCAAAATCCATAATAAAAATAGATGTTGTTTATGTTTTTTCTTTTAACCTGACAAATAGGAGCTGGAAAGATGTCACTGGTTAAGAACACCGGCTGTTTTTCCAGAGGACCCAGTTCAGTTGCCGTCATCCAAAATGGCACCTAACAGTCTTCTGTAATTCCAGTTCCAGGTTATCTGTCACTACATGTGTGTGATGCACAAACATACATACATACATACATATACACACACACACACACACACACACACACATATATATATATATATATATATATATATATATATATAAACATCTATACATAAAGTAAAACTAAATCTTTTAAAAAATAAAGTAGCCAGGCTAGATTACACCTTTAATCCCAGTACTCAGGAGGCAGAGGCAGCCTGATCTCTGATCTACATAGTAGGTTCTAAGATAGCCAGAGCTATGTAGTGAGACCCTGACTCTAAATAAATAAATAAATAAATAACAAACAAAACCAAAAAAGTAGACAAAACCTGACAGTATTTAGTACTTTAATGTTCTTGTTAATAAATGAAACGTGACAGACATTTCTTCTCAGGTATAGAATGAGCCAAGGAGACTCGAACCCAGCAGCTATTCCACATGCAGCAGAAGATATTCAAGGAGATGACAGGTGGATGTCTCAGGTAAAGGGTACTGCTTAAGGGTGACTTCAGTGGGCTGGCTCACCCCGTTTTGTGTTCATGCACAAACTAGCCTGTGTTTGCATGCATGTGGAGACCAGAGGTTTGGTGTCTTCGTCAATCAATTGCTTTTCACTTTACCTTTTTAAGAAGTGTCTGTCATTGAACCCGGAGCTCATTAATTTGGCATGACTAGCTGGTTAGTCCATTTCAGGGATCCTCCTGTCTCTGCTTCCAGTGCTGGGGCCAGGGTTTGTTTGGTTGGTTGGTTTTATATTTCATGTTTACTTTATATGTATGTATCTGTTTATGGGTGCCTAAAAATACAAAGACTACCAAGAGTTGTGTTTTGTTTTGGTCGGTTGGTTAGTTTTGGGTTTTTGATAGAGGTTTCTCTGTGTAGGCCTAGCTGTCCAGGCTTGTTTGTATGTTTTGTTTTGCATTTAGACAATAACTTCTGATACTCATGCATCTGCCTTCCAAGTGCTGAAATTACAGGCATAAAATGCCAGGGTTTGAACCCGTCGCCTCATGCATGCTAGTAGATACTCTACCAGCTGAGATTCCCAATACTGAGTGCAGTGTTTAAGAAAAAGAAATAACCTATAGACCTATCCCAGAAACTATATTGGAAAACTGTTGCCTAGTTATGCAATGGTTTGAGGCCAGCCTTCTCCATATAGTTTAGTTCCAGGGCAGCTACAAGAACAAAAAAGTAGCCGGGCGGTGGTGGCGCACGCCTTTAATCCCAGCACATGGGAGGCAGAAGCAGGTGGATTTCTGAGTTCGAGAGTTCGAGGCCAGCCTGGTCTACAAGTCTCGAAAAACCAAAAAAAAAAAAAAACAAACCTCAACTAGAACCCAAAGTCTATCTCTGAAACACATGTCCACATGTCCAGCCCCAGCCCTACTTAGTGGCTTTTTTGTCTTAAGTCAGGATCTAACTATGTAGCCCAGGCTGGACTTGAACTCTTGGTAGTCCTGCCCCAATCTACTGAGGTTTAGGTAGCATGTGCTATCACATTTGGTTAAGAAACTACTTTTTTGTTCTTTTTGTTTTGTTTTTTTGTTTTTTTGAGACAGGATTTCTCTGTGTACCCCTGGCTGTCCTGGAACTCACTCTGTAGACCAGGCTGGCCTCGAACTCAGAAATCTGCCTGCCTCTGCCTCCCAAGTGCTGGGATCAAAGGCGTGCGCCACCACCGCCTGGCTCTAGTTGAATTCTATTCCCAGCACTACAGAACCAGCAAAGCCACACTGATAAGTAGATACTGTTTCAGCTGGGCATGTGGGTTGTCCTTCTAGTTCTGGTTACTTGGCAGACTGATGCAGAAGGATCACTTGAGGCCACCAGTTTGAAGTCAGCTCAGGCAACTTAATTGAAAGGAGGGAGAAGGAAGGAAAGTCAGGCATGCCACTACGGGTTACTTCTGCTTATAAACGTGTGTTAGACTGAAAAGGCCTGATCTCTAAACAGTATAACATTTGGATAGTACAGCTTTGTTCAAAGTATGTACTATATCTGAAAGCTGCCAGTGCTACCTCAAGAAGCTGAGAAGGAAAAAAAAAAGACTCAGATCTTAATTAGATCCTGGTTCAAAGATAAATTTAATACTTAACCCTTAGAGAATCTGAAAAGACTGACTATGGACTGGATGTTAGATATAAATAGAACTATTTTTTATTTTCTTAGTATGGTTTCATAAGAGAACATCCTAACTTGTAAATGTTTGCTGAAAGACTTAGAGCTAGAGTCATGGGTAGTGTGAGTCTGGAGAGGTGGCTCAGCCGTTAAGAACATTTGCTACTTAATTATGAGGAGCAGAGTTCAGATCCAGCACACAGTTGGGTGGTTCACAAAACCCCTGAATCTCCAGCTTCAAGGTTAGGATGCCCTCTTGTGGCTCCCTCATTCACTCTCATAAACTCACAAGCACATGTAGACCTAAAGTAAAATAAGAGAGAGAGAGAAAAAAAAAAAATTAGCACACACCTGTCTTCCCTGCACACTTGGGAGATAGAGGCAGAAGGATACTGAAGTTGAAGGCTAGCCTAGGGTATTCAAGACAGTTAAAACAATAAATGACTGGTTGCTACAGTGTTCATGGAGAGGTATGTGGATCTGGTGAGTTGGAAACCCTCTTGTTCTATATCTTGACTTGTAGGCCAGTCAGGACCAAATAGTGAGACCTGTCTCAAAAACAACAGCAAAAAATTAAGTAGTGTAACAACTACATAGCTGTACAAAGGAAGCAAATATAGAAAATGTCATGATAGAGGTTTGCATCAGTGTGGTTGCGTAGGTCTGTATTTTCAGCACAGACACCGGGAGGAGGATTGCTGCAGGTTTTGAGGTCAGCCTGGTCTACTCAACAAGTTCCTGCCAGTGAGACCCTGTCTTGAAAGGTTTCTTGGGGGAGGAAGGTAGGTCTCAATGGGCAGCTTACAAGAATTGGTCCTCTCCTCCTACCGTTTGTGTTCTAGGATTCAAACTCAGGTGTGCCTGTAAGAATCTTTGCCTAATACTAGGTTGTCTTGATGCCCCCAAAACGTTTCTTTTTTTAATTATTTGAAGAAAAGATAGGGTGCTTGTGGTAGTTGTTGTTTTAATAATATTTGTGATATTCTGGATCTGTTAGACTGTCTTGTGAATATCTTGACTCTAATAGAATGATCAGTATGATAAAGGTAGAAATTAATTTGCAGTCAGCTACAGAAAAAGAATAAGCTTTAAACTAAAAGGCATGGATGGTTTGGTTAGTTTTCTTTTTGCTTGTTTTACAGTCTTGGGGATGGATCTCTGGGCCTTGTACAAAACGAATGTTTTATAGTACCTGGTCAGATAGCTATTCTTCTTAGGCCAACAAATTGCAAAAGGAAAGAAATACTAATTTCTTGTTTTTCTTTCTTCTTTAAACCAGCATAATAGGTTTGTTCTGGATTGTAAAGACAAAGAGCCGGATGTGCTGTTTGTGGGAGACTCCATGGTACAGTTAATGCAGCAGTACGAGGTAAAGCAGAGCGCTCTTGGCTGCTCCTCTCTGTCCACTGATAGATAGCCTACAGCCTTTGATTCTGAGCTGCCTTCGTAGGTTTAGGAGTCAGAAAGTGCCAGCTACACGGGAAGCAGATCCACTTAGTGGGATGCTCTGTGCAGTCTGTTTGTAAGGAAACTCTTTTTTGCTCTGATTTTCAAGAAGTTTGCTGTATTAGCCTGGTGATGATGTCCAGTTCTTCCTTCTGTTTGTTTTGCCCTTTTCATGATTCTCACTAATCCGTGTTCTTCCACTTCCTAACTTACTGTATATTTTTATAATGGGCTTTTTCCCTTTTTTTTTCTTTCTCTTTTTCTTTTCCTTTTCTTTCTTTTTCTTTTTTGGTTTTTCGAGACAGGGTTTCTGTGTGTAGCCCTGGCTGTCCTGGAACTCACTCTGTAGACCAGGCTGGCCTCGAACTCAGAAATCCGCCTACCTCTGCCTCCCAAGTGCTGGGATTAAAGGCGTGCGCCACCACCGCTCGGCCTTTTTCTTTTCTTTTTTACAGTTATGCATTCTTCTGAAGGAAACTTAAAAAGAAAATTCAGCTTTATTTCTTTTTGGTTTCTTCATTTTTGTTTTTTTGTTTTGTTTTTTTTTTGTTTTTTTTTTTGTTTTTTTGTTTGTTTGTTTGTTTTTTTTGGTTTTTTGTTTGTTTGTTTGTTTTGGTTTTTTTGGTTTTTCGAGACAGGGTTTCTCTGTGTAGCCCTGGCTGTCCTGGAACTCACTCTGTAGACCAGGCTGACCTCGAACTCAGAAATCTGCCTGGCTCTGCCTCCCAAGTGCTGGGATCAAAGGCGTGCGCCATCACCGCCCGGCCTATTTTTTTTTTTTTTTTTTTTTAAATAGTTGAGTTCATGAGATGTTTATTGAGCCAACAGCTTGATTTGATGGCAGAGTTGGTATCTGTTAGTGGACATTAGAATGTGCTGTGCAGGTTTCTGAGTTGAGACTCGGTGCTGCAGTAAGCACGGTAGACTTTCCAAGCCCTTTAAGTGAATGACATATTGTTTTCAGTGCTCACATGTAAATAAAGAATATGGAAAATTAGCTGGGAATGGTGGCACACACCTTTAATCCCAGCATTTGAGAAGTAGAGGCAGGCAAATTTCTGAGTTTGAGGGTTAGCCTGGTCTACAAAGTGAGTTCCAGGATAGCCAGGGCTATACAGAGAAACCGTTTCAAAAACAACAACAAAAATGTTAGTTTTTGTTATTAAATCACATTGCAAGTGAAGAATTTCCAGTGATTTTGTTTTGTTTGTTTAACTAAATCAAGTGTTTTGTTTTTAGATATGGCGGGAGCTGTTTTCCCCACTTCATGCTCTTAATTTTGGAATTGGGGGAGACACGACACGACACGTTTTATGGAGACTAAAGAACGGAGAGCTGGAGAACATTAAGCCTAAGGTGATGAAACTGACTTTGAAAAGAATATAACTTACCTTGAGTCTTTCAGATGCCATTGTCTGACGTGTGAGATATTGCTTCTTTAAAGGCCTGGTTCATGATTTGGCCCTTTGCTTCGTGCTTGTTTACAGAAAACATCATTGCTTAGGAACAGTCTGAGGCATGGACTTAAAGAGAGACCCAGTCTGTTGTTTGGCTGGTTGGATTGTGATTATTCTGAGTGTCTGTAGGTCTGTGGACTGTGGGCCTGGGCCGTACAGTGGGGAGCAGAGCCATGACTCATTTCAGGAAATGCTGAGCATATAAACAAGTATGCAACCAAATAGTATCTCTGAGTTCTTCAGAAGAAAGTATGGGACAGATGTGAACAAACATCTGTAATAACTTTCACATTATGAACATCTGTAGTTGATGCGCTGCGTATAATTCTTTCAACCCCTAAAGAGAAAGAAAACAAGAAACAAAGGAGCGTCACTAATGGCAGTTGCTTTCACTGGGGATGGTGGCCCATGCCTTTAAATACAGGCAGAGAAAACATTGTGAAAACTCCATCCAGCTCTGTCCCAGGGACTCCTTCCTTGAGTGCTCTGTGAATTTATATCACAGGCTTTGCACTCCTGGGTATGCACTATTGCAGTGTGTTTCCAACCAGGGAAAAGTCTTCCTGTGATAGGAAGCAGTTTCTTAAATCCCTCTTTAAGATATGTGTTTGTGATGGGTCCTTCCTGTAGCACCTCTCTCTCGGACCCGTGGCAAGATGGGCAAGTTGATCAGGTGTTGTGGTCTCCCTACTGCGCGGAAGCTCTGCAGTCACCCAGTCACCCACGGGACATGGCATAATAAACAGTACAAGAAAGCCCTGAAGGCCAATCCATTTGGGGGTGCCTCCCATGCAAAGGGAATTGTGCTGGAAAAAGTAGGGGTTGAAGCCAAACTCTGCTTGCAGGAAGTGTGTCAGGGCGCAGCTCATTAAAAACGGCAGAAGATCACAGCTTGCGTGCCCAGTGATGGCTGCTTGATCTTCATTGAGGAAAATGATGAAGTTCTGGTTGCTGGATTTGGTCGGAAAGGTCATGCTGTAGGTGGTATTCCTGGAGTCCGCTCAAGGGGGCTAAAGGAGCCAGTGTGTCTCTTTGGCTCTATACAAAAGCAAGAAGGAAAAACCAAGATAGTAAAATTTGACAGTGGAAATACAGTAATTTTCATATTCTGAAAAAAAAAAAGATACATGTTTGCTAGAAAGGTTTCATTCATATTCACTGGAGTTCACTGTTCTTTTTTGTGTAGTTGGTGGATTTTGTGAGATTAATCTTTCTTGTTTCTTCTTGGCATAATTTTGTCACCTTTTTAAAAATTATTTTATTGAGTACACTGTACCTGTCTTCAGACACACCAGAAGAGGGGAATGGATCCCATTACAGATGGTTGTGAGCCACCATGTGGTTGCTGGGAATTGAACTCAGGACCTCTGGAAGAACAGTCAGTGCTCTTAACCACTGAGCCATCTCTCCAGCCCTTTTTTTTGTTTGCTTGCTTTTTGTTTTTTCAAGACAGGGTTTCTCTGGGCGGCATTGGCTGTCCTGGAACTCTCTTTGTAGACCAGGCTGGCCTTGAACTCACAAAGATCCACCTGCCTCTGCCTCCAGCTTCCAAGTGCTGGGATTAAAGGTATGCACCACCACCACCACCTGGCTAATTTTGGTACTTAAATACTAATTTGCTCATAATTTATCTTCAAACATAATATTAGGCATAAGCCATTGTTTTTTATTTCTAGAAATTTGGTTCCATTTATTCCTGTGTATGCATGCATGTGCCACGGTGCATAAGTAGGAGTCAGAGTGCACCTTGTAGACATAGGTGTTATCTTTCGCCGTGCAGGTTTGGATATTGAACTCTGGCATAGTGTCAGGAGCTTTACCCACCGAGCCATAGCCCTTGTGTTTTCAGTTTCCCGGTTGAACTTCCCCAGCATCATCTGGGGAGCCCATTTTAACATTTTCTTAAAAGGTTTTTTTACATTTTTATTTGTTTTGCTTATGTCTTCGCATGCACATGTATAAGTGCACACACTGTGACCGCTGTAGAGGTCAGAGGACACTTGTGGGAGTTGATTCCTTTCTTCCAGCATGTAGCCCAAGGGATTGAACTTTATGCTTTCTGACAAGTGCACTTACCTGTTGACCTTCCCCATTTCTCACCTTCTCCATTTCTCTGATTTTTTTTTAAAATAAGCTTTTTATTTAAATGTCTTAATATTCTCTTGGTCTTTTATCTTCCCCTCTTTTTTCTTTCTTCATTATAGGTCATTGTTGTCTGGGTAGGAACAAACAACCATGAAAATACAGCAGAAGAAGTAGCAGGTGGGATTGAAGCTATTGTACAACTTATAAACACGCGGCAGCCACAGGCCAAGATCATTGTACTGGTGAGTAGTCCTGTTGGGTAGAGATTTGTCATATCTTTAGATTCACTCAGAAATCTTTTTTAAAAGGTTATCACTCATCAATATGGAGCCTTTAAGTGGAAGCAGTTTCTGATAGTTGTTTGTAAGCAGGATGGTTCGGAGGAAAAGTTATGGAGGAATGTGTGTGCAATACTAGTAGTTTGGCTTTGTCTTGTAGATGCTGAAGAGCCGGATCTTGAGGTGTGTCTCTTTGTCTGCCTGTCTGTCTGTCTGTCTGTCTGTAGATAACCTATAATTATCAGGACTCACTGGATGGACAGTGGTGGTGCAATCCTTTAATCCCAGCATTCAGGACGTAGAAACAGAGGCGGGCAGTTCTCTTTAAGTTCTAGGCCAGCCTGGTCTATAGAGCAAGTTCCAGGACATCAAGGGCTACATAAAGAAGCCCTGTCTCCAACTCCATCCCTGCAGCCAGGGGAAAGAAAAAAAAAAAAAGAATTAGTTCTCTTCTACCACTATGTAGGCGCCAGCAGTCAAACTTGGGTCATTGGACTTGGTGACAGCTTTTACCTGCTGAGTTATCTTGCCAGTTTCAGATCTTAGTTTTGATTTCATGGCATTTAATTTAATTGTTGCTGTAGCTGTTGCATTATGTGCCTTATTCTAGACTGGTGTGTTGTGACTGAGTTTAGCTTTGAAGAAGCTTCTTGGGCAATGTTGATGTATGAACAGTACAGGATAAATCCTCCATTAGATACTCTTGGTTTTAAAGTGGATCTTAAGGAGCTGAGGGCATATAACTCAGTGGTAGAATATTTGCATAGTATGTGTATGACCCTAGATTTGTTTCTCAGCACCATAAATAAATAAACCAGATTTAATAGAGATATTGATTATGGTCTTTTTTTTTAAAGATTTATTTTTTTATTTATATGAGTACACTGCAACTGTCTTGAGACACATACTAGAAGAGGGCATCTGATCCCATTACGGATGGTTGTGAGCCACCATGTGGTTTCTGGGAATTGAACTCAGGACCTCTGGAAGAGCAGTCAGTGCTCTTAACCACTGAGCCATCTCTCCAGCTGGATTATGGTCTTAATAATACTGAAACATGAAACACTACAAGTAACAGATCTGATAGGGAAGTGCATATTCCTGGCTAGCTGACCCATAAGCTTCCAGGAATTCTGTCTCTACCTCCCATCTCAGAAGAGGAGTGCTGACATTGTAGCTGCCTCTGCTGGGCCTAGCTTTTCATGGATTCTGGGCAGCGTGGGCACTCATTCATGGGCAGTGAGCACTTTACCCATTGAGCAATCTCTGTGGCCAGAAATTTAATGTCTTATTTTAGAAACAATTTAAAATCAAAGGGAGTGGGAGAATCAAACAGCATACCTTGGTACTTTTAGTAAGGAAAAATGTTATGCAAATACTTTTTTTTGTAATTAGTTATTTTGTATGTGCTGTACAAACTTCTGCTGTGGTATGTATAAGGAGGTCAAAGGACAACTTAAGGGAGTTCATTTTTCTTCTACCACGTGGTTTCTGGCGATTGAAGTTAGATCATCAGGTTTTGTCTTTTCCCATTGAGCCATTTCAATGGCTTTATTTCTTTCTCATTCTTCTTTCTAAATCTCAATAGACATGTTAGTTACCCTGATCGTGAGAAATACTCATTCTGCCATTCTGTATGATTTGAGAGCTGGAACAAAGTGTATGATCATTGGTAATTGGTCATCTTTCTTTCCTGTTTACTCCTTCTGTCTCAACCAGACTTTGCTGTGTTAGCATTTTTAGCATGTGAAATACTAGATACAGAGCCCTCAAGCTCTCAACTTGTTTTTGTTTTGTTGTTGTTTTGTTTTTGAGACATGGTCTTCTGTAGCCAAAAGCTGGCATCAGACTCAATATATAGCTCAAGGTGACATTAGCCTCCAACTGTGAGGAATACAAACATGTGCAGTCACTCAGTTTACACTTAACAGTAATGAACTTGGTTTTAGGACTGACCTAAAGCACCTTCATCATTTGAAACGTTTTAGCATAACAGGTATGGAGGGGGATGAACCAGTGTAACACACCGAGAATTCTCTGTGGCTTTTGGAGAAGTATAACATCATAAACAACTTGGCACCCACAGCTCCCATACACTGCTGAGAGAAGGAGAGTAGATGTGTGTAAGACTGCTTTTGTAAAGCGTGATTCACAGTAAAGGTCGGCACTGTAGCTCATGGTGGAGCTCTTGCCTTGCATTCACGAGGCCCGGGTTCATTCCCCAGTACTACCAAAATAAGTGAGGAAAAATTAAGTACCCACAATAGATCTGTCCTTGAAAGGAAACACCTTACGTACCCTGTAGGAGAAATTAGGGACCCAATTTTAAGCTTCCTTGTGTGCCATCACTAGGTATCAGCCAGCTACAAGGATGGCAGTGTCTGGCAGTACACTTCTGTAATGGAACCAGTTATCTGTTGAAGACGACTTTTAGTTTGCATTGATAAAATCTTGCTCTAGACATGTGATATTTCTCTTTATCATAGTAGAAAGGCAGATATCTGATTTGTTTGAAAATTGTATTAGATCATTAATATACAAGTTAAAATTAATTTAGGATATATTTATCTTACCAGGTGTGTAATTTATTAATTTAAGTATTTCATTAAGACAGCTTTACAGCTGTGATTCGACTTCTCTCTCTCCTTCCTCCCTCTCCCCTCTACCCCACTTTTTCTTTTCTTTTTGACACAGGGTTTCTCTGTGTAGCCCTGGCTGACCTGGAACTCACTCTGTAGACCAGGCTGGCCTCGAAATTACAAGAGTTTGCTGCCTCTGCAATGCTGGGATTATAGGCATGTGCCACCAATGCCTTCAGTTCTCTTTCTCATAATGTATTATAGTATAGCTTTTTCTGACATTAACAGAAAGAATAGAGAGAGAGAAATTGAGGCCTATAGAGAAAGAATTGAAAAGAGGACATGCTGGTTTGGGGAGGACCAGTGGGAGATATTTTTAGTAACTGGGATGAATGGCAGCCGTAAGTTCCTGAGCAGAGTCTATGTGTATTATCACTGTGAAGAAGATGAGGAGGAAGTGGCTGTGGCTCAGTTGATTGAGTGCTTGCTTGGCATGCTGTGAAGCCCCGGGTTCCATCCCTAGTACCACATAAACCAGATGTGATGATACATACCTATAATCCTTAGCGTGTAGTGAGTTTGAGGCCAGCCTAGGATTCATGAGACCTTGTCTCAGAAAACAAAGGTTGGTTAGAGAAATCTTTAGACTGTAAGTATTTAGTGATCCTGTAATAAATCTGAAGTGTGAGATGAGAGACCTGGGATGTTGGAATGACAGTTGATAGGAACTGTGGACAAGAAGAGGATACACGGCTTTAGGGGATCCTGACGGGCTCTGGGGCATTTGGTCTCTCGGTAGAAGTCCAGAGGACTTCGGAAGCTCTAAAAACGCTCTTGGCTAATGTGATACTGGACGTCGTAAGTTAGTAAGGAAGAACACGTAACCCTCTCTGTTAATGCTCTTCTGTGCTCTGCCCCAGGGTCTGTTACCTCGAGGTGAGAAGCCCAACCCTTTAAGACAAAAGAATGCCAAGGTGAACCAGCTTCTCAAGGTTTCCCTGCCAAGGCTTGCCAATGTGCAACTCCTGGATATAGATGGGGGCTTCGTGCACTCGGACGGTGCCATCTCCTGCCACGACATGTTTGATTTTCTTCATCTCACTGGAGGGGGCTATGCAAAGATCTGCAAACCCCTCCATGAACTGATCATGCAGTTGCTGGAGGAAACACCAGAGGAGAAGCAAACCACCATTGCTTGACTGGCCCCATCAGTGTTAACAGCATCCCAGCTTCCTCAGCTCAGTTAGACCACTGGCACTACAGAATCCTTTCTTAAGGCACTTTGCATTGTACAATGTTCCTGGATGCTTGTATGTTTGAAGGGGAGGAGGGATTTAAATTGGTCCTGTATATAAAGGTTTGTTTGAGAGACGAGAAAAATTAGCCAAGGAAGATTCATTTGAAACTAGAAGGGGACTTTTTAGTTGTTTATGACACATTTGTAGGATTATCACTGTTTTTCCTAGGACAACATCAAGCAAGAGTCCAATATGAAGAGTCTGTTCTTGGCCCTTTTTTCTGTGGATTATGTCATGTGTGATAATTATCACATCTACTTGGCTTTAAACTTATTTTTGGTCCAATTTTAAGGTTCATAAGTTAGTATGTTGTGTTATTTTGTTTGATTCATGTATCCTCAGTATTTTTATTAACATATAGCATCAGATTAAACATGCTTGTCACTCCAATATGGGAGATGCTATAGTTACCAGTGAGTTTGTTCCTCTCAATCTTAAGCAGTGAAAACACGGTCTGGGGACTGTGGGATACTGTTTTTATTGCTGCTGATTATCATGTCTGTAACAGACCCGTGCATGCAGCCTTTCCTCCGCTCCCCTTCGTCTCCTCACAGGTGGGTTATTTACATTGCAAACTTTTAACTCATTTTTGATCTAGGACTTGCACTGCCGTCAGGACGATCTTACTAATGTATAACTCATTCTGTGTGCTGTTCTGTGATGTAGGGTCTGTGTAATGTTAATCATCCAGAGTTCTGCGTGTCACCCCCCAACCTGTTGTTTTCCTTTGTTTTGGGTGTAGGAGGTCAGGGGTGGGGGGGGTCAGAATTGTTTCCCATTCCATAATGCCTGATGTTATTTCAAGTTTTATATTATCTTAAGGTGTATATGTTTGTTTTCGTTTTATATATATTATATATAAATAGATATATTTTACAGTACTGGAATCCAACCCAGGGCCCTGCACATACTAAGCAAGTGCTCTGCCATTGAGGTAATCTCTAGACATGTTTGTTTGCTTGTTTGTTTGTTTGTTTAATTGGTTTAATTCTTAAATTCTATCAGTAAAAAAAAAAAATGTTTTTTTTTCCATGGGAAACAATGAAAGCTGCTCTCACAATAGATGTGCTATCTTTATCAATTTTTTTCCTTTTTTGTTTGTTTTTCGAGACAGGGTTTCTCTGTATAGTCCTGGCTGTCCTGAAGCTCTGTAGACCAGGCTGGCCTCGAACTCAGAGATCACTTGCCTCTGCCTCCCAAGCGCTGGAATTAAAGGTGTGCACCACCACACCTGGCTTTAGATGCGCTATCTTTATTCTGCCATTTTAGTAAAGATAGACTAGGTTCCTTTTTTGGTCTTTGAGACAGGGTCTCATGGTATAGCTCTGCCTAGCCTGGAATTTGCTGTGTAGACCAGGCTAGTATTGAACTCACAGAGATCCCCCTGCCTCTGGACTCCTGAGGACTGAGAGTAAAAGCATGTACCACCATGGAGATGGCTCAGTGATTTTTTTAAGATTCCTTATATAATTTAGTGTCTTCATCGAGATTTCAAGAGAGCTCTTTACATTCCTGCTGGTTTGCTTGAACTACACAAACTGCCACTTGAGAGAACAATAGATTATCAATCATCAGTATGCCAATGGACCCGTATAAACTGATCTACAACCATTTTCACTGGACCAGGTTGGGGATTGAAGTAATTCATTAAATGTGCTCTGCAGTGATTTTGTTTAATGGTCACACTCAGTAGCTATGATCTGGGCTTTATGTTCTGCTTACAGAGCAGCCATCAGGGCTGTTAGAGGAACTGTTGTTGGTTCGTGCTGAGACCTACACTTGACTGAGAACGATAGAAGTTGAGGTTTTTCTTCCTGGTGAGCATCTGTGTAGGAATTTAATGCATAGTGTTGTGAATGTATCATGTCTTCATTAGCAACAGGAAGATACACATGGTGTTTACTAAAATTGTTTACTACAGTAAAATTCCCTTTTATTTTTTTAGTAGCCCAAGTTCTGGAGTTTTTCAAGACAGATTGTTTTCTGAACCGTGGTATAACTTTAGGAAGGAGAGTTAATTAAGCCAGAATTTTGTGTGTAAAAAGAACATGTTCTCCCCGGGTGTCTCTGTGTTCCTCGGAGAGTGGGAGTATGGTCCAAATGAATCCATTAGGTCACTGCTGCAGCATGCACTCGTAGTTCCTCTTGACCAATGATGAACTAGTCCCATGAGCTGGCTTTCAGCTCCCGCATATGTGTATAAACCTCAGATGTGACTACATTTTATACCTACCCGAGCCCTTCAAGCAATAGTATTTGAACCACTAGCCTTTTAAATAAAACTCTCGTCCTATTGCTAAGGTGCAGCTACGGAGTCTGCTGTCATTCCTTGCCAGGTTTGTTTGTGCTGTTTTAGGGGGAAAATTGTTGATCATTTTTTCTTTGGTTGGTATCCCAGATTGCTTCAGTGACAGAACTGGTTAGTCTCTGTGTCTTTTTTTTTTTTTTTTTTTTTAAGATGTGAGCAGAACTTTCTCATTGGTTAAGGGGCCAGACAACCAACATAGATACTGACTGCTTTGTTCCTTTTTCTTGGTAGGTGGGGTGGTGATTTTCTTAGGCAGAGGCTACAGGTGCCCTGGCTGCCCTTGAACTTTTGGTGATCCTCCTGGCTCTTGTCTCCCCAGTCCTGGAATTACAGGCTTATTCCACCAAGCTTGATTTGTTCTGTTCCTTTCCCAACATTTTTTTCTCTTGAGACAGGGTCTCTGAAGTAGTGCAATCTGGTAGCCGTGAGTGACCTTGAACTCAGTCCTTCTACTTCTACCTTCCGAGTGTTGAAGTCATGGCTCTACTCTGGCAGGTTGGAGATGCCCTAGATTGTACATTACCATTGGCCACCGTGTCAGGTCTGCTAGGTCTCTTGAGGACATCTATCCAATCCTGATACTTCTGTCAAAAGCCTACACCCAGTAAATAAGTCTTGACTAGTGAACTCATGCCCTGTTCTTAAGAATTACAACTCATTGTTTAAAAAAAAAAAAAAAGTCCCAATTTCTGTTTGCATTTTCAACCTAACCTCTTAACAGCTGTATGCTCCGCCTGAGATGTGTCTGTGCTAAGGTGTGTGAATATTGCCAGTTTTCTATTTATTACAGTGATGAAGAAACCAGAGATTGGGAAAGGGGAGCATGGCCAGCTCCTGACTCTGAGCAATTTGTGTGGGAGCGATGAGTGGGCTTGCCAGTGGTCGTGTTCTTTAGGACCACTTCAGCAGGCTGACTGAACCTCCCCAGGGGAGCTTGTGACTATGCTTTGGCAAGGGCTTCTTGACTAGAATCCATTCTGTTCAGTGCTCATTTCATATAAAAGTCAACATTTCACTGCAAACTTCCTGATGTCTTTCTGTTTCTTTTTATGGTAGTTTAGATTCCAATGGAAAAAGCAGGGGTGGGTTTTCCTACCTTATTAACATAATGGATTCTTCGCTCATCTTATGTCCCAAGGAACTGAATGTACCAAATTGATTCCTTCACTTCTCACAGGGTAGGGCACTACATCGGGTGAGTAGTTATAAGTAACCCTGAGTAGGTACATGAGAGAATGTTGTAGGCTGGTCACAATCTCTTTATATAGCCTACCTGGCCTGGAACTCAGAGATCTGTTTGCCCCACCTCTTAAATGCTGAGACAAAAGGTGTGCCCTACCATACCTGGCCTTACGGATAACTAATAAACCATAAGCCAATCTTCTTTTTTTTTTTTTTTTCAAGACAGGGTTTCTCTGTGTACCCCTGGCTGTCCTGGAACTCACTCTGTAGACCAGGCTGGCCTCGAACTCAGAAATCCGCCTGCCTCTGCCTCCCAAGTGCTGGGATTAAAGGCGTGATAAGCCAATCTTCTGACCCCAGTTTTTTTTAAGTTGAGTGTTTCGAATTTATTCACAGAACGGCCCATGTGGCATTATTTCTTTATTCTTCACACTAACAGTCACTGTGGTTTTACTGCTTGGGACAGTATCTCCTGTTACCTGCAGCTTACACTTAGATGATTTGCTGTTCTGGGTTCCTGTGCCTTCTAGGGAGAAATACCTTCCTTGGTGTTCTGTGTGATATAGCCCCATATAGCTGTTGGTTAGGAAGCTTAGAAATCCAAGACAGCCAGGAGTGTACAGAGAAACCTTGGCTTAGAAAACAAACAAAAGCGGGGCGGTGGTGGCGCACGCCTTTAATCCCAGCACTTGGGAGGCAGAGGCAGGCGGATTTCTGAGTTCGAGGCCACCCTGGTCTACAGAGTGAGTTCCAGGACAGCCAGGGCTACACAGAGAAACCCTGTCTCGAAAAACAAACAAACAAACAAAAAACAAAACAAAAGAGGCTCAGAAATTGAATATTACATCCTTTCCAAGGTCATCCTGACTTAAATAGTTGAGCCTAGCTTTGAGCCAGTTCTACCTGACCTCCTGCCTGTGTGCCACTCATTGCTCTAGATTCTGGGGGTCTAGTTGCCTCAGGTGAGGATGCTAGGATAGATGTGCCTTCCTTCCTGGGTGAGGGGCAGTTGCTTTGGTCTTTCCACTGCTATAGTGTCTCCCTTTCAGTCCTAGCTTTTGTGTGGCCATAAAAATAGATTTACTGCTGGGCGGTGGTGGCGCACGCCTTTAATCCCAGCACTTGGGAGGCGGAGGCAGGCGGATTTCTGAGTTCAAGGGCAGCCTGGTCTACAGAGTGAGTTCCAGGACAGCTAGGGGTGCACAGAGAAACCCTGTCTCGAAAAACAACAACAAAAAACAGATTTACTTACAGTGCCTTGTCTGGCCAGCTGACTTCCCACTTCAACCAGCACTAAAATTAAAACATTATGGAACAAAAATGTGTGCTGCTATACCTATGGGGTTTCGGAGACTCCAGAGCTCTGTGTTGGTATATCAATAAAGTCAGAAGATGCTCCGTAGTTAAATTTAAAATCTAGAGGGAAGGTGGAGGTTTACATGTAGTCCAAATAGAATTCTCTGCATAGCTAGTCCTTTTAATATCCAAAAAGATGATTTGTTGGTGTTCTGGGCATGTAGCTCGGGCTGGCCTGGAATTCCTGGTATAGCTAATGATGGTCTTGAGCTCATCCTCCTGCTTCCAGTTCCCAAGTGCTGAGAGTACAGTGTTTACCACCACACCTAGCCAGTTTGTCTGCCTACTTTACCACAATCACAAATGAAACCAAAGATGAGGGCTTCCTCAGACCTCTAGAAAACAGGACTGCCTCCTTTGACATCCATCACACAGATAAGGCTAGAATTGTTCTGTAGATAGTTTAGTCTGAGTGTGTGCTGTAGACTGTCTTATCAGAACTGAGTGAGTGTCATCATTAGTCCTGGAATGACACATGATGATGCCAGCACAGGACATGAACCTTGGATGTAGCCTCATTGCCCACGTGTCCCAAGCTGAGATGTTGCAGGCATTCTGTGAAGGCTCTAAGACTAGACCAAGGTACCTGTCCTGATGACACAGCCCAGCAGCAGTACTTACAGCTGGAAGACAGGCTACACATTTCTGTGGCATATTCCCGTGACCACTGCCATAGTGCTGCTGCATTAAAATGCAGGCTTCAAATGTTTATAGAACTGATAAGGCAGGATGGTTTGTTCTACACATCTAATGCAAAGTTCTCCACCCAAGCTCACAGGCCTTGCCTTTGTCAGTTGCCTAAAAGGCCGTCTTAGATTATTTTTAGATATGGTCTCCTTACGTTATACAGGCTGGTCTCCACCTACAGGAACTACGGAGCAGACTTGGACCCCTTGGCTCGGCCTGACCACATTTTTACATAGCCATTCCGAATCAAAGGTCTTTAGTGTCTGACTGAACAATGTTTGTCTCTGATACCGCGTGATCGTAGGCCTCTTGCCTCATTTCCTGCCTCCTTTAAACTTAGCTCATTTATGAACACAGTCTTCTGAAAACAGGTTTTAGCTGGGCTCAAACTGACCACCTTGCCTCAGCCTCTTAGGTCCTGAGGTTACAGATCTGCACCACCATGCCTGGCTCACACGAAGACACTGAACACACGAGTCAGCACACTCGTAAAGAGTCCGTATGACAGCATGCTTGTTGATAGCTACTGGCTAACAAGGTCAGCCTTCCCTTTGAGTTCATGCAAGTACCATATAACGTAAGTACGGATGCGCCAAGGTGGGACTACCCTCTGGAATAACATTTCTGTCCCCTTTACTGGCTAGCTCCTCCATCTTTTGTCCCAATAGGGACCCTTGGGGTGTTTGCTGGTTTCTCCCATTTCTAGCTCCAGTCTGTCTTACAGCTCATGTGTATGTTCTCATGATGTCCTCCATAAACATAAAAAAAAGTAAGTTTTTGCATGTTTATTTTTTAAAACGACATATATTTTTGAGTGTGTGCACATGCCACAGTGACTCATGGAGGTCCACAGGCAGCCGTTGGGAGTTGGTTCTCTTATCATGTGGTTCTAGTAACGGAGCTCAGGTCTTTAGGGTCTGCAGATGGCCTTTTTCTGCTGAGCCATCTCCCAGGCCTACATAAATAGAGAAGGTGCTTTAAGCCTCTCTCTCTCTCTCTCTCTCTCTCTCTCTCTCTCTCTCTCTCCCTCTCTCCCTCTCTCCCTCTCTCCCTCTCTCCCTCTCTCCCTCTCTCCCTCTCTCCCTCTCTCCCTAGTACAGTTTAGGGACAAGTACAGGCCAGGCACTGAATAAACAAAAGGATGAATGAATGGGGATTCTTTCAGTAGCATCTGGCTAGTAACTCAGAACTAAGGAACACAAATCTTTACTTTGGTACCCACATCTCTCAGTGATATTATATAGCTTCTGTGAAACTAGATTATTTTTGCTAGTGATAAATGAGAGAGAAATAGAAATAAAATTTACTTGAAGACAGAAGCCGGAAAGCAGGTGGGGTGCTCAGTGGGTTAATGGCAGTCGCTACCAAGCCTGACCTGAGCTCCATTCCCAGGACCCACGTGGTGGAGGGAGAGAACTGACTTTTGTAGCACAGCCTGTCACACATGAGCACACAGATGAACATGATTGTCAAAAACAAGCTGGACATGGTGGTTTATGCCTATAATTTCAACACTCAAAAATCTGTGACCTGAGCTGGGTGTGGTGGCACATACGCCCTTCAGCAGGGCAGAGGCAGGTGCATCTCTTGAATTCCAGGACAGCCAGGGCTACACAGAAAAAAAAAAAAAATCTGGCACACATTTAATCCCAGCACTTGGGAGGAAGAGGTAGGTGGGTTTGTGAGTTTGAATGAAGCCACTGTGTTCTACTGAGTGAGCTCCAGGATAGCCAGAACTACATTAAAAGACCCTGTCCAAAAACAAAATCTGGGGCAGGATTGTGTGATTTTGAGGCCAGTGCAAACTGCATAGTGGGTTCTATGCCAGCCTGGGCTATAGAGTAGACCCTGCCTCACTGAAATAACAGAAGAAGGAAACAACAAAAAGCCAAGCATAGTGGTGCAAGCCTGTAATCCCCAGGATTCGGGGAAGTCCAGGCAGGAGGATCAGGAGTTCACGGGCAATTTAGGCTACATGAGACCCTGTTTCAAATCAAAACAAAAGCAGAAAGACAACACATGCATGTTTAGTAGAGTTTAATAGAATAAGTGATGAAGCTGAGTGAGGTGGTGGCTTTAATCCCAGCACTTGGAGGCCTCTAACTATACATAAAGGAGTTCTGGGTCTTCCAAAGCTCCCTAGTGAGACTCTGTCTTTTTGGTTTTTCAAGACAGGGTTTCTCTGTGTAGTCCTGGCTGTCCTGGAACTCACTCTGTAGACCAGGCTGGCCTTGAACTCAGAAATCCACCTGCCTCTGCCTCCCAAGTGCTGGGATTAAAGGCGTGCACCACCACCGCCCGGCTTGTGAGACCCTGTCTTGAAAATGTGAAGTGGAAGAGGCTAGACTGGCTCGGAGATAATAGGGATTGTAGAAGAGGCTAAACTGGTTTGAAGATAGTAGGAATGAGGAAATCATGTCCAAGGCTTCAGGGCAGTTCAGTAAGAGAAGGCGTGAGAAGTGAGCCAGTGGATTATTGAGAACAGAGGCAACAGGACTGTAGAGTTGCCTGAATCTTAGATGTACCAGAGAATTAGATGTACCAGAGATGGGCAAAGCTCCTAGCAGCATCCTGACTTACTAGCTCAAGGCTCCTGCTTCTCTGCAGGTGGAAGATAGCTGCTGCTCTCCGGTCAGTGATCCCTGGAGGCACAGATTTGAACTGATCTATTATTTATCCACTTGTGTACTGCAACCCGATGCCCAGTCAGCCTTTCCTGGAAAGCTCTTTCGGTTCTGTCACATGGCCAGAGGGAACCAGATACAGGGGACTGAGTGATTCAGTAAGACTGTTGAAG